TGGAAATCATGCGAAATCAATCATTGTTGCGTTTCGCATGCCACTTGGGTTTTTTGTTCGGTCGTCTTCGGGCGTCCCGGTGGGTGTCTGGGGCTTCTGTGGGCTCTCGCGGGGCTGTTCGGCCGCCCTCCCGACAGATATCGGCCCGTTGCCTTGGCCCTACAAGGGCTTCCGGAGCCCCGGGGAGCACGGGGGGCCGTCTGCAAGGGCCCCCATGGTTCTCCAGGGGCAATGGATTCGGAAGGGTCTCGTCTGGGGGGGGGGGTCGCAGGGTCCATATTATAGACGTAAGAAATTGGGATCTCTCTCTCTGTCTCTCTTTGTTGTTGCTTCTCTCTCTCTCACTCTCTCTCGACATACATACATATATACATACATACATACATACATACATACATACATACATGCATACAAACATACATACAGACATGCATACACACATACATACACATACACCTACACATACACATGCACATGCACATACACATACACACATACACATACACATACACATAGACATATACATATACATAGACATACACATATACATATACATATACATATACACATACATATACATATACATATACAGTTGTATCTACACTTGCATTTACATATACACATAATTATACATATACTTATACATATACATATACACACATATGCATATACATATGCATATACATACACACATACATATGCATATATATGCATATCCATATACATATGCATATACATATACATAATCATATACACATAAATATACACATACATATACATATACATACACATATACCAATACACATACATACCCATATACATATACGTAACCATATATACACATATACATATGTATATATATATATATGAGAAAGTATGCTTGTATGTATGTATGCATATAGCTTGTGTTCGGCCTGCTGCAGGATGTGGCAGTACGGTTATGGGCGCGTCCGACAGCGAGCTCCGCGCGCCGTAGAGCCTCTGGCTGCCGGGCGGAGCCCAGTCCGCAGAGGAGCCCGGATTCGCATCGAAGCTCGCCACGCGTGGCGACTAGGCTTGGAAGCAGGCAGTTGTACAAGCTCATCAATGAGCCGCGACATTGTGGGGGGCCACCGCGCGGCCTGCATCGAGCCCATTAGGTTTCCGCGAATAGATCCAAATTTGGGGAGACATCGCCACCGATCCCGTGGGCCGTGATATCGCAGGATGGAGGGCATCAGAAAACGACTAATTTTCTTTTTGGTCGCGATGAGCGAAGGTATACTATATATTTCTTGCACGCCCCCCCCCCCCTGCCATGCTCAGCGCTCTCTTGCAAAACGGGACTCAGAGGGGTGAGGGGCGTCGTTTCGCCCGCGCCCTCCATGGCTTTCCTTCCCCTTGCGTCGCTCCTGCTCGAAGAAGACATTGTGTGCGCTCGCGATGGGTTGTGTCCACTGGGGCGCGGGCGGCCCGACGCCCTCGCCCATGGGCAGCCCGAGGTCGATCCGGCGAGCCGGGAATGCGTTTCGGATGAAATCATCCATGCTGCGCGGACGGCACGCGCCGCGAGTCTGATGTTCTGGTCTAGGCTGATCGCCCTGCAAGCTGCGCAGCCGCCCCTGCGGCTCGACCTCGACCCCTCCTGGGGCCCGAAGGGGGGCCTCGCAGTATCGAGGAGTTCGGCGCCCGAGCGGTCGACTGCGATATTGCAGTCAGCAGTTCGGCCAGAAGGTGTTCAAGGAGACAAGTAGATCCGCGTGTGCCATCATCTTTTCGGAGCCTGGCGACCATTGCAGGGTTGCGGCTCGCGCGATAGGCGCGGTTCGGCCTGGGCCCCCACGGGCGCCCCAGGCAGGCGAGCAATTCGGACTTGCCATGATCGGTTGTCGGGCCACGAGACTGAGTGGAGATCGCAGCGACTGTTTCGGCGCGGTCTATTTTCGCAATCTTCCGCGCACACAGCAGCTGGCGCCCGATGAAGTCTTTGCTGGCATCGGGCGGAGATCGCTGGCTGAGGAGGGTCACGGCTCGATTGCCTCGACCTCCCGCGCGCCTGCCCGCCGCCCCGATGATGTCATTGCCGCCCCCCCTTTCCCGCAAAGGACGTTCGCCTTGGAGAATCAGGGCGCGGACCAGATGGCGAAATTCGCGATGTCACTTCGTCCGAGCATGCATGGGGAAGGTCTCGCTCAATGTGATGAGGTGTCCAGAAACACGCATGGATGTTTTTTTCTGTCGTTCTCTCACTGTGCCCGAAACTTCTGTTCGGCGGGGCCAGGGGCGAGGGCCCTGCGGGCCCGCCAGCGGCGCGGCCGGTTCCCCCTTGAAAGTGATGTTTCGCCATCTGCCGCTCGTTGTTCGTGATGCCATGCGGTCTCGAATGGCGGGGATCGGTGCCACGGGATCTCGAATGGCGAGAAGCGGCCGACGCTCTAATGCCCAGGCCTCAGCGCGGCGCTGAAGAGGTTCACGGGCGCGGGGAGCTAACGAGCGCGCCTCCTCTGCGCGGCCAGCCCGCTGGCGGCAGGAGGTTTGCCGTTGCTGTTTTGCTTTCGTTGCGGAGCATGCGCCGGTTGAACATGCTTCTATCTGTGCTGGGCGGTCAATGCCCTGGCTTTCTTGGGCCCAGTGGCAGATCCGCGCCTGCTCTGATGAGCCAAGGTCGTCTCCCGCATTGCAGGCGCGGCGGCGCGATCTTTGCCGAGGGCTCCGTTTTTTCTGGCCGAGGCTCAGCGCGGGAGGTGCCGCGGAAGGCAGCGAGGCCTGCGCTGCGCCTGACCGCCCCCGCACTCCGCCCCGTCCAACCTCCCGGGGCGCAGGCGCTGGCGGCTCGTATTCAAACCGCAGAGGAAGCTGCGGGTCTGCAGCCTCGAACTTGCTTCAACCGCTTCTGCATTCCAGTACATCTCGCGTCGCAGAGCTGGGGAACCGCATTTCGACGGCACGGAGGAGATGTCCTGCATTGAGGCAGGAGTTGACAGGGAAGCATTTTTCAATAAACAAGCGAATTTGATGATTTCATGGGACGATCTCTCCAACTTTGCTGCATGGTTGTGATGCAAGGACAATGACAGTGGACATGGAGAACCGACTCAGGAAAACGCAACGCAAGATGTTGCGAATGATGCTGCGCACGCCCAGGCGACGTGGTCAACAGTTCGACCAAGGGGTCGCAATTCAGCGGCAGCGACGGCTTGGATACATGCGTCGATAATATCCGGTGGTCTACAAGGAGAGCCGAAGAAACGCTGGAGCGACTGCACATCGACGATTCTGGAGATGGGCCAGGAAAGTCTGCATCTCGGGAACAAGCGAATCGGCACTACAAGCATTACAGTGGGACCCACAGCGAGATCCCACGTGTGGTGCGCGTCGGAAGCCGGGCTGCCCTAAACTACGGTGGTGTGACGATATCTGACAACGTGCCGGACCAGACTGGATGTCAAACGCTAATGTTTGACATGTGGGGCATTCTCGAACCAACGTATGTAGTCAGGTATGCTTCCTCTCTTGCTTTGTAGTTTTGCGTTGTCACGCTTGTGAACTTGCAGCATTCATATTTATGCTGATTTCCGCAGCTTCGCACATGCTTCACAAGCCCGGCGCTACGGCGCCCACCTGCGACGCTCTGGCCGGCGACAACTGCAACTTCGAGTTCCGAGTTCTGCTTTGGGCCCCCCCCAGGAACACTTCTTCCTGCTACTCCTCCCGTCCGCCTCCTCCTCCTCCTTCTCCTCCTTCTCCTCGTCCTCGTCTTCCTCCTCCTCCTCCTCCTCCTCCTCCTCCTCCTCCTCCTCCTTTTCCTCCTCCTCCTCCTCCTCCTCCTCCTCCTCCGCCCCCTCCTCATCCTTCTCCCTGCGCCGTTTCCTCCTCTGCATCCTCATCCCCCTTCCTCCTCCCTCATGGTGCTTTGGCCAACTCTGGCGGCCGGTCCTGGGCTGCGGAGCGTTCAAGAAAAGATGTGCCCGACCACGAAAAATTCGCCCAGAGTCAGCGGGGCCAGCGGTTCGAAATGACAAGGCCGTCGCAAGTCTGAGAAGTTCGAAATCCTTTTCCCCCCGCCCTCCTCGTCATCCTCCTCCTCCTTCTCGAAACTCGAAGCTGCGGACCGCGTCCTGCCTCTTCCTCCTCCTCATTTACCTCCTCCTCCTCCTCCTCCTCCTCCTCCTCCTCCTCCTCCTCCTCCTCCTCCTCCCCCTCCTACTTTGCGCCGGGAGCCTCCCAGAAGCGATCCTTCCGATGCAGCTCTCAGGCCCGCCGCTCGCCTCGCTCGGGCCCCCTCTCGGCACTTCTCACGTGACGGTCGCCCTTCGCTCGGGCCCCTCCTGCCTCGGCCCACGGCTCGATCGTGGCGCGTGGCGTGGCCCCTCCAGCTCGCCGCGCGGGTTTTCCTTCGCATGGAGCTGCGCGCCTCGGGCTGCGTCTGCCGTCGGAAGTCCAGACGCTGCAGCGAGGGCCCCTCCTCTGGCTCCCGAGGGGTCCCTGGCGTTCGGGCCGACCTCTAGATCTTAGGTTTCTGTCGGGCCTGTCCTCCTACAGGGGGATTTTCGACGACACATAAAAAGTGCCCCCAAAGTACCCCAAAAAGGTCAACACATATTCAAAACATAGTCCCCAGGCTATTTTGGGATTTTGTTTTGATTATTTTTGGGGTATTCTTTATTTGTCGTTGTAAATCCCCCTGCAGGGGGACAGGCCCGGCTTGATCTTAGGTCGGGGACCCTCTTCGTGGCCGACGTTCGCCGCGGCCAGAACAGCCCTTTCGTTTCTCCTTCGGCGCCCGTTATGACACCTCGAGGGCTGTGATCCTTCTCCCTCCGCTTCCTCGGCCCCAGAAACGGATATCGTTCAACATCTTGATTTTGTTGTTCTTACTGTCTCTGGAAGTCCGGGCCATCTCCCCGTCGGGTCTTTTTCTCACCCTGGGTATAGGTTCGTTCGCGATCCCATGGTCCAGTGAAGGCCCTCGGAGGCCGACGAAGCGGACGAACTCCTGCCGTCGGGTTTTTTTCACGAAGAGCTCAATGATTTTTCTGTCACGATTCGAGCACGTCCTAGCCTCACTCTCCTCTCTAGGCCTCCCAGATGGGGTCCGAGTGGATGGGGTCGGAGGATCGCGTAGCATCGCCGATGCATCGCCGATGCGGCTCGATGTAGGGCCCGATTTGCTTCACGTCGACGTCGCCGATGCATCGCCCACGTCGACGATGCGTCGCCGATGCATCGGCGATGCGGCGCGATCCTCCGACCCCATCTTCTCCGACCCCATGTCGGAGGGCTCTACCTTCGCGGGGTCTGGGTGGGTGGGGACAGCAGCGTTGCTCCCGCCAAGCCGCGAGGGGTTTCCCCCGGGCCACGCCCTCTGTTTCTCAGTGTTGTTTTGGACTCGCGGGCTCGGCCTCAAGCCAGCGTGGCCGGCGCGTTGTGGCGCGCTGTTGACTTGTACAGCGACCGCGAGGATGATCAGAAAATGCAACGCTCGCGTGAGGCTACAGTGGGGAACTTTGGCTTTGTAGCAGGCTCGCCTTGTGATAAAAATCACGACGGAAGGTTTTGGGCTATTTTCGGCCTCTGGGGGCCCTTCCGGGGCCTTCCGACCGTCAAAAAATTGCTCGGGATGAATAATTGGCCCTGGGGGAAAGGTCGGGATTTCTGGGGACCCCGTACTGGAGGACATCAAGACGTTGGATGTCTGGGTTGGCGTTTCGCGTCGCTGGTTCTTCTGACCCGCCACTTTTCAGCGCGGCACGCTGACAACTTCCCGGCCCCCGAGTGTGAACGTCCATAGCTTTTCCGCGTCCCGCTACGCGGAGCGGAGCGACACGCCATGCTTTTGCAGGGCACAGCGTGATGACGAGGCCGTTGCCGCGACACGCTGCGAAATGGATCTTGGCCGTCAGAGGCCTAGTCGAGAAAAAATCATGTACCTAAGGATCAGATTCCCGATGTCCGCCTGGATCTGTCTCGGTTCAGCGGCGCAGGACCCTCCTGAAGGCGGCTTTGCTACCGCTCCTGGCAGCGCATCTGGTGCCACGGGACGGGGGTCCAGCGCCGACCGCAGACATTTGCGCGGATCTCCGAACGTTTGCGTTTATTCATGACTTATGTTGTTTTCCGATGCGCCCAAGCAGTGATTTCTTGCAGTCGATGCATTACAATCCAGGTTGTGCAATCGATGTCGTGCATTCTCGGTGGTGCATAGTAATGCAAATATGCAGCGCAGTGCGGTATCAGCGCAACGCAATGTGACGCAAGGCGAACCACTGCACAGAGCAATGCAGAGCCATGCAGAGCAGTGCAGAGCAGAGCAGAGCAGAGCAGTGTACAGCAGTGCGAAGCAGCGCAGATCACCAGAAGGCGATGCGGAGCTGCGCAGAGCGAGGCGATGCGATGCAACTCGATGCGAAGCAGCGCGGCGCCACACGGTGCCAAAGGGGGGGGAGGAGAGCGGTGCCGCGGGGCGGCGACGATGGGCGGCCACGGCCGAGAGCGGGGCCACTGGGGCAGCAGGCGGGCCCTTGACGGGGAGGAGCGCGGCGGCCACGGGGCGGCAGCGGAGCCGCCCGGGCCGCAGACGGGCCCGGCTCCTCGGGAGAGAGAAGGCTGCAGCCCAGACCACGAGCACTGCTCGAGGAGCGCGTGGCACCCCGCAGGTGCGGACAAGAGCGAGGGGGGCGGCGGGGACGTCGGCGGTCTAGGCGACAAGACAAGCGGAAGCCTCGCCGTGGATCCCCACGTCAGCCACGCACCCAGGGACACTGAATGACCGTTCGGCCCCCTCACTCTGACTGAGTGGGTCGCGAGGTGGATCGCCAGGTGGGTCGCGGGGTGGGTCGGGGGGTGGGTCGCGGGGTTGGTCGCGGGGTGGGTCGCGGGGAGGGTCGCGGGTGGGCCGCGGGGTGGTTCGCGGGGTGGGTCGCGGGGTGGGTCGCGGGGTGGGTCGCGGGGTGAGACGCGGGGTGAGTCGCGGGTCGGTCGCGGGTGGGACGACGACAAACAAAAAACAACAACGCAACAAGCAGAACCTTCACCGCGGATCCCCACTTCAACCGCGCACCCAGGGACAATGAATGACTGTTCGGCCCCCTCACTCTGATATCTAAGACGCCTGCGTCGAGACAGGCGCCCCTGTGCCCTTGGGAAAGGGCAAGGCACTGGTGGCCGATAGTTCATGCGAGAGAATCTCCCCAGACCCTTTCTGTCCATTAAATCATGTTGGAAGGTTTTGCACTATTTTCAGCTCCTGGAGGCCACCACCGGGCCTCCAGACCGTCAAACAACGACGGGAGTTTCGGTCTTGAGATGTCTTTTACATCGGTACCCGGAGGGGTCCTCTAAGGCTGTCCTGGGGATCTCTTCGGGCTCTATTCGGGTCCTTTTGGGCAATCCTGGAAATCTGGGCGTTGCACTTCTTTCACACCAGGCGTGTTCGCCCTGAATCGGGCCCTGGGCCCGTTAATATCGATCCGGGTCACAAAACGCAGCAGTGGGCTTAGGTCTTTGGTCGTGATTGTCGCAGTGTTTCGTTTTTTTCGCATCGTTGGACCTCATGGCCTTTGCAGAAATCAGGGACCGTATTGGGCTATCTTGGGGCCCTCTTGGGATGCTCTTGGGCCGTGTGGCCCCTCTGGATGCAGTCTTGGTTGGGGGTTTCTCGGAGCCATCTTTGGGCCCTCTTGGGGCGATCCCTGGGGCCTCTGAGGCTGGCTCGGATGGACGCACTTGAGACTCAAAAGGCGGCAAGAGTAACCTCATGCTATCCAGGAAGGAGTCTCTTCAGCCACCGCCCCCCAACCCCCTCTTGCCACTTGCCTTGGTTTGCGAATGCAAACTAAAATATTGAAGTAGGCATCGGCTCTGGTACATCCTTAGTCGAAATACCATACGTTCTTGACCAATCCAGTTCTTCAATCCCGCTTGATAGTATGCACGATGGAAAAATCTTGGACTTGCTCTGACACCATCCAGTTCTTTAACCGCTTACTCGGGCCTGGCAGCTCTAGTCTTTTCCGCGAGGACGTCCGAGGGGGTGCCTCCTGTTGGCGGCATGTTGCGGGATCTCGGGGCCGTCGTGGGCGTGATGTTTCGAGCTCTCCCGAGCAGGCTCGGCTGAACCATCCTGGCGCCGCCTGTGCGGGTGTTAGGGCCGTCTCGTAGCTCTCTCGTTCCCCTGCCCTCTCCCTCCAGCCACCGCCGCCCACAGCTCCCTTCGCTACAGCAGACACGTGCGATCAGTGCTCGAAAAAGTGCCCCAGGGCTTCGGTGGGTCCCTGGGGCCATCCAGGGATACGGCATTTCTGCGTGGCACCTTCTGGCGGGCGGACTTCGTATTCGATGTGCCTACAGTATCATCCATTCTCCTCCTCCTCCTCCTCCTCCTCCTCCTCCTCCTCCTCCTCCTCCTCCTCCTCCTCTTCTCCTCCTCCTCCTCCTCCTCCTCCCCCTCTTCTCCTTCCTCCTCCTCCTCCTCCTCCTCTCACCTCCTCTCCTCCTCCTCCTCCTCCTCCTCCTCCCCCTCCTCATCTCCCTCCTCCCTCCTCCTCCCCTCCTCCTCCTCCTCCTCCTCCTCCTCCTCCTCCTCCTCCTACCAGTCCCTCCTCCTCCACCTCCCACCTGCCGCCCTCCCTCCCCCGTCGTGATTTCCTACGGCGCCGCGGGCGGTCCCGCCGACCCCTTCGCGTGGGCCAGGTTACCGTCCTGGGCCGAATCTCTTGCACAGCTGCGTGCTGAATTTCGGCATCATTTCTTTCCTTCGCTCGTGGCTCGTCGCCCTTTCCCTTGGCCACTCCCCTGCCTCCTGGACCGGTCGCACGCGCCCTCGTGGCACCTGGAGGCCCCTTACTGCAAGGGCCAGGGAGAGCGTGCCTCTCTTGCTTCTGAAGGCCCCTGTTCCCAACACAAAAGCCCCCGGAGGCCGAAACCGACGGAACAGGCAGGATTGAAAAGATGCAATCCTTTTGAGGTCTGGGTCCAGGGTCCGAAGTCGACCGCCCGGACCTGTCCAGAGAGGCGCCCTGGCCATAACGTTGAGGAGAACCCAGCCGCGGTCGCGAGGGCGCCCGAAAGGACTCGCCAGCGCCAGAAAACCGAATGCCCGAACCCTCCCGGCGATACAATGGTTTCCATGCGCGGCCCCAGAGGTCCCGACCCCTTCCGCGGGAAGGTTTCCTTTCCGGATCCGTGCTTGAGGGTTCCGAGATCGGAAAAATTTGATCGAGGAAAAACGCCAGTGGTCCAAAATCGAATGAACGCGTTCTGTGGTCGCTTGGAGAGGAGGTGGGTTTGAAACCGGACCCCCCCCCTAGATGGAGAGGGGGGGGGTTCGAACCCCCCCACCCCTCCCCTTCCTTCCTCCCCTGCTTCCCCTCCTCTCCTCGGGCCGGCGCTTGCGTCGGCGGCGGCTGGCGGCGGCGGCGGCGGGGACGACGATTTCCTTTTCTGGGCTGGCGCCGGCGCCTGCAGCGGCGGGCGGCGGCGGCGGCGGGGAGCGTCGACGAGGACGACGGTGGTGGTGGTGGTGGCGGTGGTGGTGGTTGTGGTGGTGGTGGTGGTGGTGTGGTGGTTTGTTGTGGTGGTGGTGGTGGTGGTTGTGGTTGTGGGTGGTGGTGTGTGGTGGTGGTGGTGGTTTGATGGTGGGTGGTGTGGTGGTGGTTGTGGTGGTGGTGGTGGGTTGTGGTGGTGGTGATGGTGGTTTGGTGGCGGTGTGGTGGTGGTTTGTGGTGGTGGTGGTGGGTTGTGGTGGTGGCTGTGGTTTGTGGAGGTGGTGGTGGTGGTGGTGGTGGTGGTGGTGGTGGTGGTGGTGGGGGGGGGTGTGTGTTTGTGCTGGTGGCGGTGAGTTGTGCTGCTAGTAGTGGTGGTGGTTGTGGCGGTGGTGGTGGTTTGGTAAATTGTGGTGGTTGTGGTGGTAGTTGGTAGTGGTGGTGTTTTTTTTTGTGGTGGTGGTGGTGGTAGTGGTGAGTTGTGGTGGTGATGGTGGTGGTGGTTTGGTGGTGGTGGTGTGGTAGTGGTTTGTGGTGGCGGTGGTGGGTTGTTGTGGTGGCGGTGGTTTGGTGGCGATGTGGTGGTGGTTTGTGGTGGTGGTGGTGGTGGTGGTGGTGGTGGGTTGTGGTGGTGGCGGTGGTTTGTGGACGTGGTGCTGGTGGTGGTGGTGGCGGTGGTGGTGGTTGTGTGGTTGTTTGTGGTGGTGGCGTTGCGGTGGGTTGTGCTGCTACTAGTGGTGGTGGTGGTGGTGGCGGTGGTGGTGGTGTGGGAGATTGTGGTAGTGGTAGTGGTGGTGGGTTTTTGTGGTTGTGGTGGTGGTGGTGGTGATGGTGAGTTGTGGTGGTCATGGAAGCGCCCGTGAAACGCGCTCTCTCCCAAAATCCTATCGCTGGGCCCTGGGATCCGACAGCGCGAACAGCAATGCAACATGGTGCAAATTCACAGCCCGACATCAGACCCCATCTGCGCGCCGTTTCTCGAGCCAGACGGATCTGCTAGAGGGCCCCGGTGCCCGAGACTGGGTGAAGACGCCTGGCGAACCAAAAAAAAAAATGCGATGGCAGGATGTCAGAGGAGATTTGAGACCATTCATCATCGAGAATCAAGAGCCCTCCATAAAGGTCCCCAGACCCCCATCGAGTCATGACTCTGACAAAAATCTCGACGGGAAGTTTCTTGTTATTTTCAGCCTCTGGGAGCCATTGCCAGGCCTCGGGGCCGTCAAAAAACGATTCCGGATGAGAAGCCGGTCCTGGGGAAGGGGTCGAGATCTCTGGGTGTCGACGGCATGAAACAAACATGACGTCGGGGGTCTGGGCCCCGTCTTTGCATCAGGGATACACAATAATTTTGGGTGGTTTTGTTAATGGCACATGTGCTGAAGAGGCCCCCATATCCCTATAGTGTATTGGGCCTCTTAGCCCACGCCCGCTCCCAAAGAGCTAGGGTTCCTGTAACTGCTAGTCGCTCCATCCCCAGACATCCAGCGTCTCGATTTTCCCGAGACACGGGTCCGTGACCTCTCGACCCTTTCCCCAGGAACAGTGTTTCATCCCGAGTCGTTTTTTGACGGTCCCGAGGCCTGGCAAATGACCCCGAGAGGCCAGAAATGCTGACAATTTTCTGTCTCGATTTTGTTTCGAGACGCTGCACCTTGAGATCCGTCGTTGCGGAACAAAAACATGTCAAAAGCACGATCCGAACCCAGCACCCCATTTTTCTGCGTTTTTTTTTGGTAAGCCGCATCGATCTTTGCCCAGACATGCGACGCCCTGATTTTTGCAATGCGGGGTCCCTGGCAGTCCCGACCCTTTCCCCGGGATAGTTTTTTTTTTTTGTTCTTGTTTTTCCTTCCTATGAGTCGCTTTTTGAAGGTCCCGTGGCCTGGCGAGGGCCTTCCGAGGCCGAAAGTTGCCCAAAGCCTGCCGTCCTGATTCCCACGACGCGACCATGCCTGGGTGAGGCTCCCCGGGGCCCGAAGTCGGGCGAACACGCCCCGTGTGTAAAAACACACGGCAGCACCCAGCTCTGAGGGGATGCCTGGGCTCTCCAACGTCCGCTCGGCGCCCCGAGCTGCGGCCACGCCGCCGCGCGCCCGGCCCCGGCGCGCCGCATGAGCGGCGGCGGGGCCACGCGCGCCTGGCCGGCCGCGGCGCTGGCCGTGGCCGCGGGCGGGCTGGTCGCGGCCGCGGAGCGGTTCGGCCCAGATGCGTACCAGGCCGAGGGGGCCCAGTCACCGGAGCTTTCCCCAATCATCGGGGGCGGAAAAGAGGGGGGTGATGACTAGGAGGGGGATGGATATCATGGCGGGGGCCATGATATTTCCCTGGCCCCCCCACTGGGCCGCGCACATGCCGCCAGTCATGATTCGCACCCCCCCTCTTGGACCCCCCCCTCTTGGCCGCTCCCAAAAACAGTGCTTGCACTGAATCTCCGAGCGCGTTCCACTACTCGCAAAGTGCCTACTCGCAAACGTCCGAATATCACATGTCGGCTTTGATGTAATTGATCGTAGATCCCCCGCGGCGTATTCAGGCCATTTGCGAGTAGTTACTTTGCGAGTAATGGAACGCGCTCGTCTACTGAAGGGGTCCCAGCGGATCTTGAAGGATTTGGCGACAGTGAGCGGTCGAGATTTCGGTAGGTGGCCGGGTTCCCAAGTTCCCGCTTCGGGGTTTCCTGGTTCCTGGTTCCTGGTCCCGTTTTTTCTACATTTTCGGCCTCTCGGGGCCCTGGCCGGGTCTCGGGACCGTCAAATAATGATCGGGTATGAAAACTGGTTCAGAGGAAGTGGTCGAGAGGTCGGGGACAGGCGTCTAGAAAGAATCAAGACGCGGACGTCTGGGACTGATCTTCCCTAGAGGTTCGAGGTGCGAGGGTTTGGGTTATGTAGCTCCCACCGTACTTAAGGACCACATCCCAGAACAATTTTGAGCACCCAGAAAAGTGTCGAAACAGTGTCGAAGCAGTGTCGGACGATTGCCTCCCAGGGCCCGACACGTGAAAACTTCTGAGTTTCGGTAATTTCTTGGTGCTCGAAATTCTTTCTGGTGATCAAGGCTAAAGTCGGCTGGAACATCATAGGGTTTGGGACGTTTCGTCGGGAGGCGTTCCAGCAGCTGCACCTCGCCGAGGGCGTTCTTTCTGGGGTGCCTGGATCGCCCTGGAACGGCCGCCAGAGGTCCGAGCTATGGTTGAGTCGGGCCTGTCCCTCTACAGGAGGGGTATTCAAAAGTAGTACAACAATGGGACGATTTTTCGCCTATTGTAGAGGTGCCGCCGATCCGGGACGATCCCGCTGTCAGAAGGACGCTTTCGCCCCAGCGCGGGGTGATCTTTTCCCTCCTAGCCAAAAAATAGTATGGTGACGATTTGGAATATGTTTCGGATATTTCTATTTGTCGTCCAAAATCCCCCTGTAGGGGGACAGGCCCAACCTAAAACTATGGCCTGAAACCAGGCATGCTGATGTGTAGAAATCCGGACGGAAGGTTTTTGTCTGTGTTTAGACTCCGGGGGCCCTCGCAAGGACCGAGGACAGTCAAGCACGACTCGGGATGAAAATCCGGCCCTGGGGACGGCGTCGGGGCTTCAAGGGACCCCGAAATTATCAAAAAGTCTTGACATTTCGCGTCTCCCCACCAGCCCATCCAGGAAAGATGCTCAGGCGAGTTGCCTGGATCAAGACAGTGTAGGAGCATGCAGTGGAACCTGTTCTGGATCAGCCTGATCAGGCCCGGCGCAAGGACAAGAAGGGTGAGGAGTAGGAGTAGGATGATGAGGGGGATGAGGAGGGGGAGGGGGAGGAGGAGGACGAGGAGGAGGAGGAGGAGGAGGAGGAGGAGGGGGAGGAGGAGGAGGAGGAGGAGGAGGAGGAGGAGAGGAGGAGGAGGAGAAGGTGGGAGGAGGAGGAGGAGGAGATGAGGAGGAGGAGGTAGAAAGGAGGCAGGAGGAAATAAGAGGAGGAGGAGGAGGAGGAGGACGACGACGAGGAGGTGGAGGACTAGGAGGAAAAGGATGAGAAGGAGGAGGACGAGGAGGAGGACGAGGTCTTTGGGCCTTCGAGAGGCCCTCTTCGGGTCCTCCTGGGACTCTCTCGCAGCCCTCTTAGAGGGCCCTCTTGGGGCTATCTTCGAGGGTCTTGGGCTCCTCGTGGAGATCTTTTGCGATGCCTTGGGGCCCTCTTGGAGCCCTTTTGAGGGCCTTTTCGGAGTCCTAGGGGACCTCTTGGGGTCGTCTCACGTCGACCGAAAGGGGAGGGGGGGGGGGGGGGGGGGGGGGGGGGGGGGGGGGGGGGGAGGGTGGGGGGGGGGGGGGGGGGGGGGGGGGGGGGGGGGGGGGGGGGGGGGGGGGGGGGGGGGTGGGGGGGTGGGGGGGGGGGGGGGGGGGGGGGGGGGGGGGGGGGGGGGGGGGGGGAGGGGGGGGGGGGCGATTTCCCGGCCCCTCCTCAGGACCCTAACCCTCAACCTCCCCGCTTGGGGCCTTCTCGGGACGCTCTTGGGAAGCTCTGGGGCTCTTTTGGAGCTGTCTTGGGGGTCCCTTGGGCCCCTCTTGGAGCTCTCATTGGCCATCGGGACCACCCTGAAGCCTCAAAAGCGCATCGGACGAAACACAAACGAGTAGGCACACATCAATGATGTTCCTTCAGTGTTTCAGCGGTTTGGGCCTCCTGGGGGAGCTTTTGGTGGGCTCCGAGTGCACTTGGGGCCGTCCGGAGGTACGCCGGGAGCTATGTCGCACATCTTCGGCTATATCTAGCCGTGTTGGAGGCCATCTTGGAGCAGCTGATGTCCTCTCGGAACCATCTCGAGCGCAGGAGGAGCCTCTGACACGTCGTGGCACCACCCGTCCAGACCCTTGGGAGGCGGAAGGGGAAGGGATGAGCCCCTCCCCGAAGGGGAAGAAGGGCTTTGGGAAGGGAGAAGACACGAGACGCATACCATTAGACCACCTACGCCCAGAGGGCTGCTGGGATGTTCGGTTTCGGCTAGACCCTCCTATCGTTCCGTGTAGAACACCGGCAACTGGGTGGTGGGGTGGTCACTGCCTGAGGGACAGAAGTCCCGAGCAGAGCAACATGCACCACGACAACGACGACGCCGACGAAGGAGACGAGGCGCGCAGACGATCTGCACCGAAGCACGGATTTGGGAAAGGGCCCACCCTGCAGGTTCGGGGAGGAAGAGGATCCACAGATTCCCGGAATTGTAGGTCAACAGTTTTGTTGTCCCAATTCTACAGGTTGCTGTGCACGGGAAGCTTCGAGGATGGAGACTCGAGGATGGAGGTCGAGGTTTTGGGTCGAGATTCGAGGATGGAGATTCGAGGATGAAGACTCGAGGATGGAGGTCGAGGTTTTAGGGGCGCTCTTGGGCGTTTGCTGAGGGGGTTTCCGAGGGAGTTCTCGCCGCTACGGCCAGGTTCCCGCAGAGATCTCTAGCCTCGGGGCTCGAGAGACGGGGTCCGTGCAAATGGAGGTCAGATCGAGCGCCAGTTTTTGCAGGATCCTGCAGGGCCAGGGCTGCACTGCGTGCCTCCGCCCAGCTTCTGTGCTCCTCCTCCTCCTCCTCCTCCTTCTCCTCCTCCTCCTCCTCCTCGTCCTCCCCCTCCCCCTCCCCCTCTACCCATACCCCCCTCCTCCCCCCCTCCTCCTCCTCCTCCTCCTCCTCCTCCTTCGCTCCTCTCTCCTCCTCCTCCTCCTCCCTCCTCCTCCTCCCTCCTCTCCTCCTCCTCCCCCCTCCTCCTCCTCCTCCTCCCCCTCCTCCTCCTCCTCCTCCTCGTCCTCCTCCTCCTCCTCCTTCTCCTCCTCCTCCTCCTCCTCCTTCCTCCTTCTCTTCCTCCTGAACCTCCTCGCCCTCCCACTCTTCCTCCTCCCCGTCTTCTCCGTCCTGCAGGATCCTGTATGATTTTGCCGGATCCTGGAGAGCCTGACTGACCCGGGCCTGGATGGACCCGGGGCAGCAGATGCCCGATGGTCAAATGGCGTCCCTGGAGAGGTCCAGGTACTTCGACTTTGAGGCGGTGCTACCATGCCTTGCAAACGTATTGCAATTCACGTCGCCGGCAATCGAGGATCGTGGGCAGAAGTCCTTGTGAGTTCTCACGCGGCTCGGAGCATTCTAGAGGGCGCTCTGGCGAGATTGTACGAAGGGGAGTATGGTGGGCAGGGGGCGCTGTGTCAACCACCCCCGCCCCCCTCGCGTCGTGCAGATTCGCGACGGAAGGTTTTCGGCGGTTTTCGGCCTCCTGGGATGGATGCCCACGCTCTTCGGGGGTGGAC